TTGAGGACAACATGATAAGGAGAATTATTTTACATGTTTGGGGATTTTCACTGATCCCAAATGCAACCATGTTGACTGCTCAGAACTTAGTACAGTATAACCAGTTTCAAAACAAGTTCATTGCCTCCCTAATTAATGTTGGACATAAAAAGCTGGACATGAGAAGAGTTCACAAATATAGGGACAAGGCTTGAGAAGATTCCTTACCTGGAACTATTCACTTTCATTCTGCTATTTACTTTCATTCCTCACATGATCCAAGTAACATCTTGAAGCAGTCTGTGCCTAGCTGGAGACTACTTATTATTAAAATAGTTGCTGTTAGTGTTTTTTGGTACCTACTTCCTTGTAGTTTCTCTGCCTTAGTTCTAAAGTAACTGACTGTGCCATCTTCTCTCTCATATACCTGAAGGCTGCTATTCTGTCTCCTCCTTTAATACATTGTGGAACATGTTGTTTAAAAAATGAGGATCAATATCTTTCACATTTTGTCTGCTACGGTAGCCTGCTCCTCTTTGTTGAAAGATCAGCTTGCTCACCCTCACTAAAAATATAAGAACTTTACAGAATTTCCTGATAGATTTAGTTTTTAACTGAAGCCTTGGTAATGACAGAGAACCTACTACACAGAGATGCAGTGAAACTAATTCAAGAGTCAAGATAATTTACGATCAATTTATTATCACTTACTTTCTGCTAGGTAGTAGAAATCTGTCTATCATTTTATTCAGGCTACTGTGCAATCAGCATACCAATTCACTTTGGAAATAATTATTTTTGCAGAAAGAATATAGAATGCAGTAGCAGTAGGCTATTAAAGCTTCTGTTTGAAAATGCCACCTTTTTCATGTTTTGTCATTAAAATTGGTCTATAAATTTTAGGCAGACTTCAGTTGAATGAAAGTCTATCACATGCCAGACATATATTGATTTTTCTCTCTCTTAGATCAATGCTTTCCAGGGGCTCCGTATTATTTATTCATAAGATAGAAAAGTTGTCTGAGAGGCATTTACAGAAGTGTAAATCTGTAATCCAGATAACTGTGTAAAATGCTCTGCCAGGACCCCAAGCAACTGGTGCAGGCAAGAAAAAAATTGCTTTATTTTATTCCAAGCACATTCATTTTTGTAATCTTTCCTTCATTAGGACATGCATCTAGGTATTATTTAAGTTTGATGCCTAATGTTTTAGTGCTTTCGTATTTTTATGCATTAGCATTCAAATAAAGGAGGTAAGAGGATGTTCCATATTCCTTCCAGTTTTTGAAAGAAGACCCCTTTAAAAACATTTTTAAATGGATATTATGCCTAAGGAAAGAAATGTTTTCAGCATATCAAATTTTAAATCCTCTCCATCATTGTTCAATCAGTCCAAAAAACACTTAATCAGTATGCATGTTGTGAATTTCCCTTGACCATAAGAATATTTCATTTTACGCTGCTGTCTCTGCATATATTCACAGTATTAACACAGTGTTTGCTGAATGCACTGCAGAGCTGAAAAGATAAGACTTGGTCATGCAGTTTGCAATATTGTAAGATGTATCAACATGTTGTTGTTTTGGCAGTTTTTTGGAAACGTCATAAGCTCTCTCCTGAAATTAGTTTAATGGTGTACTTAATTATGGTGCAACCCCGTACATGTGTAACCTGTCAAACGTGCGAGGTAGTCTAGACAAGAAGCACACCCAGAAGTACTAACTCTAACTTTATTGTAGGTTACATTAACAAAATCTTGCAATCTGAAAGTATACCTTTCCCCCCTCACCTTTATAATCCAAGAAACTAGGGAGGGTGTCTTCTGAGACATTTGCCTTGCCCACATTTCTTCTGCAGGCTCAGCAGCCTCTTGTCGGATCACTGCCTAGTCTATGGCTCTCCCTTCTGTCTCCCAAGGTCATTCCCACATATCATTACAAACCCAGAGTAAGCTAAACCCAGAGCTTATTACTAAACTACAGTCTCCCAATGTAGGCTGGTGAGCAGATCTGGAATTTCTGAAAACCTGTTTCTAAAAATGGCTGTTGGGAGGATTTGCCTGTTCAAAAAGTGGCTACTACTGGGGGGGGGGG